AACTGATTTTGATTATTTAGCGTTCATTATAAAAAGGTCAGATCTCTACAATATACAACTTCATCATTTCAAATCAGACTGTTTTTCATAAGTTGGAATTTATTAAAAATTTTTTTTGCTCCAAGTAGACATTTTTTGGAATAGGACTATTAAAAAATGCTGCTAGTGATAGACTTACCTCAGATCAAGTCCTTCAAGCTTTGGGAACAGTTTGTCAAATGCTGACACGAGTGACGCAGATAAACGGTTACAGAATGATAGTCCTAAATATTTTAAGTTGGAACCAACACTTCTGGATAGCGAGTGTATTCCCAGTACAGATACACTGTAACAATCTCTTAATTCCAGCCATTCCACACCAGGCGGTAGATTAGACAGAACCACATTCTGACAGTTAGAACCTACAAGGAAATCAACCAACAAATCAACTGTGCTTGTCAAGTTACACACATTTATTTGGTAAAGGGATGAAGTGCCCAAGCCAACTTTTTTACCCATTCCCAAAATAAAAGCCACAATTTTTTTTTTCAAATTGTGAAGGCCAGAAGCCAACAGAGATTTATCTCCATTTGGTCCAAAATTATTTTAAAAAAATACACTGAAACAGGAATAATGTTGCGTTAAAATTTGGAAGGGAAAAGTGATAATGCTTGAAGGTTTACATTTTAACCAGTACAAACATTTTATGCTTTACTGACTGTGTGCCTTTACGGAAAACAATTGCTTCAAGCATTTTTTTACTTAAGCTTTTCATCACAAATTTACAAAATAGTCTTGTTTATAGTCTGTACTTTTCTTCAGAGGATTGGGACAAAAATAGCCAAATTGGTGCTACAAAATTAGGGTTCATTTATTGAATATTGAAGAATATAATAAAAACAAAAGTGCAAGAAAATGTGGGCAAGAAAGTCTGGTGGTGAACAGGTTAATCTGTTTTCTGAGTACCGGTATTTATTACGTACATTAGAAACAACGCTATGAGGTGACTCGCCAGCATAACAAATATACTTATAGCAGAATAGTTTGAAAATGTTTTGTGAAAACATTTTCCTCACTGAACAGGTGAAAGATAGATATTCCACGATTAGGATCAAGGTCATGTCTGTCTCAGCCATAGTTCAGACCAGAGTTATTTGTACATATTTTACTCAATACCACATACCCGTACCACAAGCAGTAAACACACATACACTAACTGCAAAGACCATTGCGTGCTTCGCACACAGGAGTCAAAAATCACATGCTACTCACATGATAAATCCAGCTTCCTCACATTGTGTAATCTTTTAAAGATACGAGTCACATCTGTGGAATTTAGATCCCTTCTTCGTAGAAGGTAGGACTCTTGTAAAGACAAGTAAGTGACACTTTGTAACTGCTCTAGGGCCACTTCAGATAGTGGAAAATTGAGAGAGAATGGCAGCTTCAAAGTCTGCAGACGTAATTGCTTGAGAGGATGATCTATCTGCATTTTGGATTCTGAAAAGAAAAAAAACAAGCCCTGAATTTAGACAGGAAGAAATGTAAACTGACACACTAATGCCCATAACTGATGAATTCTTGAATATTGCACCTGAAGTTGAAAATAATATAGGTATAGCTACTTACTTTTACGCCGATTTTCTTTCAAACTTATCAAACCATTATCATCCTTTGGGGGAGTTAGTGCAGTCGATAAATTAAACTTGAGCCCATTGATTGCATGTAGCGTCAATGATTTCAGTTTAGGTAATCGAAATAACACGTACTGCAAACCTTCACCGGTGATTTGAAATCCACTACCGGTTGTGGCAGTGTTCGCTTTGCAGAGTGCTAACGTGTGCAGTTCTTTCAGCTTGGCGAGATGACTCAAGTTCTCATCCATCATCACACTGATATTGCCTAATTCTAGCGATGTCAGTCGTTTGAATGCAGTTACATTTGATAACAAGTCATTGCCGTGTAGTAAACTACAATCTTTTAGCAAGCTGCTCAAGATCCAAATGTTGACGTAGCGTTTGTAAATTAGCAAGTTTCATTTGCATCGTTAAATGCATACCCTTCAAGTAGGACATATGTCGAGAAACTTTCTTGAAGTTTTTTTTACTCAACTTTGTCAATTCCACTATGCGTACATTACGCTGCTTCATCAATTCCCATGATGCGTCTTCATACTTATGAACATTGACCAACTTAACAGTTTTTTTAACCCAGTTACTCGGGTGATCAATAATCATCCTGAAAGTGTGATTCACAAGACGTAACTTAGTCCTGTCTTGAGGGGTCAGGAAAGAAAAACTAGCATGAAGAGATCAGCAGGTAATGTCATCCAATCTGGTATGAATGGAGGAACATCTTCTCTTTGCAGCAAACCTTCAATATCAGCAATTAACTTTAAGTGGTTCACTTTCAAAGCTTTACAAAAGCGCATATAATCATCGGCAGTGATCAATGCCATACCATCAGTGTAAATGACTTTGTTCCTATAAATCTTGTGAAATGCGGCAAGTAACGACCATAACCATGTTGGTGTGGGTAAAAATGAAAAATGAGCTTGACATTGTTTATCTGTGAACGATAAAACAAGTTAATATGGTTAATGCATTTTCCATCCACATAACTATTATAAAATGCATACTAACTACTAGATAGATCTAGTTGAAAATCGTTTTATTTTTTTAAAAAGACACATTTAGTATAGACTAGTATCTAATACATGTCCAATATCACTTAAAGTTCATGGCTGTATTTAACAACTGTATATTCAAAGTTGAACTTGTATGGGGGGGAAACGGGATGGTAATCAGAAAAATAAACTACTAGTACTCAGTTTTCTGGCTATAGATGCTATAGTTTACAACAACTCAATTCTCATAACCAAGTACTGCTTTGACCAAAGATCTTTGTTAAATTACTATATTTGTTTTTGTTAATTTTGAGCATGTTCTTAGCCTACAGTAAAATACTTTATTTCCGCTTGGAATTTATTTTCGCTATTTTCGCTGAAGGTGTGATTCAGTGAAAATAAAATCCTGTGAATATACATTTTTTCCTATATTTCTTATTCAACTCATCAAAACTCAGTGAATAAAAATTTCATAAAAAAAAAAAAACACCAAAAAAACAAAATTAATTCCAGCTACAATAAAGTAGTTTACAGTATTACATCAGTGTCTGACGCTATGGATATTTGTAAAACTCGGGGGTTTAAGATTGAATGCTACT